CTTCCTTCTGCTTGGATACTTTGGGAGAAGTCAATTTTTGCCGGCCAGATGTGCATGGAACTGTAAAATTTGCTTGTATATGTTCAAAAAAATCTATAATTTCATATGTACTTTACTGCTTCGTTTCTGGTCTCGGCAACTTTTTTTGGAGAAATATGTGCAAAGTGCAAAGAACCAACTTCTGAATTCATATAGTTAACTTGATCAGTTTGAAGGATTTCCTCAGGACAGCTGAAAATAGCTGAAATTCCTTGTCCAAATGCTGTGGGAACTTGCAAAATTACTGAATAATGAGAATTTTCCAATAACAATTCTGCTGGTGTAGTTCTGAATGACCTCTCCCCCCTGACCTGCTCCTCATAATGGCAAACAATGTTTCATCTAACAAGGAAGCTCTCAAGGCTATGAATCTCAAATCAGTGCTTCGGATGTGAAAGGCAAAGGGATGGGGAAACCTAATCATGAACTTAAGTATTGCTTGCTCTATACAACTACTCAGGCTATGTTCATGGATTCTAAATTCCTAGATCTTGTCACATTACTTTGATCTTCCTGCCATCAGAACAGAACTAATGTACTTGCACATGAAACAAAACAGATAAATCATGGTTTCTATCTATGTTCTTTATGTCGTTCTCAGAAAAAAAAAAAAAGATTAGTTCCCAATGTTTCTTCACTCCAGGAGTAAGAACCAAATTACAGTTATGAGATGTCACTTTTCTACTAGGAAAACCAAATTACAGACTTTTATATGTCTGTACAAGAACCATATGTTCAAACCTTCAATGCCATATTCTCTATATCTAATGCACCGCCAGAGTTGCAGTAAGCAAAAGTTGCGAAATTGCTAGTTTAACACCACATAGCAAGGGGAGCAAAGAAACAGAAGCAGTAAATCATAGTGTTTCAAAAGAATTGCCAACCAAAACAAAGTTTTTAACTATAAAATATGTACTTATTAGTTTTCTTTTAGAGTATGTGTACAGCTGGAATGCCACGTAATTGTAACTATAAGTTCTTATTAAACCTTAGAGACATCCTACCGACATTGACATGGATTATGTACCTTAGTAAATTTCCCAATTGTATTTCCTAAAACTTAACAGAAGGTAAAATAAATAAATAAACTCATATTAGGATATAGTTTATGGTATGTGAATTGTCAAATCTCATTGTTTTAAAGACACACTTTAATGTTAAAAAACTCTCCATTTTTATTATAAAATAAATCTCATCTTAAAATGTGTCAGTATTAATGTATTGAATTTTATTAAAATTTTGAGAATACACTAAGACGATTGAACTAACGAAGAAACGTTTGAAGTTGGGATTTAATGGGAAGAAGGGAGAGATTCTTAGTTGGACTTTGTTAGTGGATCCAATCCCCAAAGGGGATTAAGCCCGTAAGGATGAGATTGGCATAGAGAAAGGCGGGGGGAGGGCGTGGCAAAAGCAAGCAGAAGTCCCTCCATCCAACCTGGTATTTGAATTTGAAAAGACAAAACCATAACCCCCTTTCCCTTCCTCCCCAAAACGCAATCCCACGTTGTTTCTTTCTCTACTTACATATACATACACATATATATATATATATATATACACACACACACACACACACCATCCTCAGACAAACCTTACTTAATCCTGAAAAGCGCGCCTCTCCCTGTCTTTCTCTCTCTCTCTCTGCAAATTCAAATCCAAACCCAAATTCCCCCTTCAGAGCACCAACAGATCTACTCTGGGTACCCATCAATCTCTCTCACAGTTAACTTTCCATTCTGTCTACGGATTCTCGAATACCCTTTTCAGCAAAACCTCTGTTGTTTCTAAAGTTTGGAGCTTTTCTTGATTCTTTCTCGAACCCCATGAACTTGGTTCTCGCAAAGTTTTGAAATTTTGAGAATTGGGTTTTTTGAAGAAATGGAGATCAAGCTGATTCTACCATGGTTTCTAAAGGCTTGGTCTTGATGCCTGGATCTGATTCAAAGGTTGGTCTTTTACATTTCTTCTTCAAATTTTCCTTTTTTGGTTTAAACGTTGTTGTTCTTTTTCTTGGTTTTGGATTGTTTTATAGTTGGTGAGAGGAAGAGGAGTATAGATGATTTGGAAGAAAGACATGAAGTTTCACCTAAGCGATTCAAAATGAGAGATCTTGATCTGTCATTCGCTCTGAAGGTAAATTTTTATGCTTTTTTTCTTTTGGGAGGGGGGGGGGGGTGGGTGTTGCTGTTCATTCCAATTACTGGTAAATTATTCTTCTTATAATGCATTAGAATTGATTCATTTTTGCTTGCCTTATCTATGTCTTTTTCTCCCTTTCTCTGTTGGGATTTGGAAAAATAATGGAAGTTTGTAATGATATTCAAGTATTAATGATAGCGGTTTCTAATTGTTACTATTATCTAATTGTAATGTGGCTTATATTGTTGAAACCTTTTTTTCTTTTCTCCTTTCATTTATGCAACAGAAATCAATGCCCACAATTCAAAATCTTTGAAAAGAAGAGAATCTAGTCAGCCATCGCTCGTTAGTGGAGAAGGGGTATCTCAAGTTACTGAGGTACCAGTAACCCTCAATTTTGATGGTTCTCAAGTTGAAAGGACTAATGGCGACAAGTTATTGGCAGTGGTCCAGCCTCTCTCTGGGCCTCTTGATCTTAACACTGAAGTTTGCTTTGCTAAGAATGAATCCTCTGATAACAATCCGAAATGTGAAGAAAAGTTTGACAAACTGTGTTCACAAGAGAGTAATTGTGCGACCTCGAAAGGCATTGGCTTGGATCTGAATGCGGAAGATGTTTCTAGCTCGATAAACTGTGAATCAGTTCCTCACAAACATGTCAACAATTTGAAGCCAAAGGATGTTTCTGAGTGTGGAAGTTCTATTGGTCCAGTGGAGGAGAAAGACTCATTAAGAGTTTGGAATGAGATGAAGCAAAATGGTTTTCTTTCATCTTCTCATGGAGGCATATCTATGCAAAATGGTTTACTGTCATCTTCTCATAGCGGAATACCAGTGCCTAAGCAACGTGGGAGGAAAAGTAAGAATGATGTGCTTAAGAAGAAGATGGAGCTTGCAAAGAGAGAACAGGTGGACAGGTTTACAAAAATTGCTGCTCCAAGTGGACTGCTCAATGGATTGAACCCTGGGATTATAAATCATGTTAGAAATAGAAAACAGGTACATTCCATAATAGAGGCCTTAGTGAAGTCTGAAAAACTTGAAAATGTGCATTCAGAAAGCAAAAGTGGAACTAAAGAAGATGATGGTAAGAAGGATCATGGAAATATTGATGACTCAGCATTACATCGACTCAGTTGTTACCATGAAGATGGGCCTCCAAATACTAAATCTATGAGCAAGAAAGCACGAGGTTATCTAGTGCCAATGCATAAGCCATTTTCCTCAATTTCAGAGGAAAGAAGTGGAGATGGTGACTCAAGCATGGTAGACACAGTCAGTGAGGATGATGCACTAGCACTGAAGTTGTCATCATCAACTAAGGCATCTGAGAATGCTAGCTCTTTCTCTAATGAGGAGTCAGCAAACATTACCAGCGCTTCTTCTCTTTCTGTAAAAGGTCAGAATTTGTGTTTGTTATTTAAATCTTTATTTCAGAACGTCCTCGAAAAATGTCAGAATGGTTGATAATAATGATTAGATGTTGAAAAGATAATAGTAGAGTGATGGCCAGAAGCTTATTCTTTAACATATTCATCTATGTACATGAAAAAAATGGCAATGAAGCAAGATTTGGATACCTGATGTTTGCTGTTTTCTGTACAATAAAAATATCTTGAATCAAATATTTCCAGTTGCTGAAGATGATTTATGTTTTTTTGGTGACTGTTATGGAGAAATGAACGACTTAACTGATATAAGTGACACATTTTTTTCAGCTGCCAGCGTTGCATCTCAATGGTTAGAACTTCTTCAGCAAGATATTAAAGGACGTCTTTCAGGTATTTGTCTTTCTCTCAAACTGTTATTAGACGTTTAGAGTAGAATATGTACTTATGTAGTTTCTTTGTTGATTTTTGCTCTGCACTTGCAGCATTGCGACGTAGTAAGAAGAGAGTGCGAGCTGTAATTACAATAGAACTCCCTTTTCAAATATCCAAAGAATTCTTCACTAACCAAGGGAGGGAGCCTAATCTCATAACAACTTCTGCTGATGGATTTTCCACTGATGCTGCCGCTGAGATGCATAGAGCAAGATGGAGTGCACTGTTTGATCAGATGGATAAAGCTCTTTCTGAAGAAGAGAAACAGCTAGTAAGTTACAGAAAAGCTACCATGTTTATTGTTATTTTGAGGAATGGTACTTGGGGTTTCTTTTTTTGGTAGAAGAAGACTATACTTGCTGTCTCTAGTGTTTGTTGCTTTGAAGTCAAGGGACCTAGGCTATCTAATTTAAACCCAAGTATTCTTTCCACCTTTGATCTAGGTATTCTTTTATCAATAAACCTTTATGAAGAGGAAAGGTGGATAATGTGGACCCACCTTTTAGTAAAGGCTAGCACCTTAGGTGTTATTGAAAAGAGGGCATTGAGTTGGTATGCTACTTAATTGAATTTGATCCTTTCAAGTTCATTTGCTTCTTCTCAATCTATTTTTCTCTTAAGTAGAGAAGGGTATTTCTAATATTTCTTAATTTCCCACTTACATTCCAGGAAAGTTGGTTGAACCAAGTAAAAGGTATGCAACTGCATTGTGATCAGGGCTTGCAACATATGCATTGGAACTTGCTTTACAGTTTACCACAACCAGGAGCATCAGAAAATAATATCAGGTAAGGCTTTTTGAAGTGTAGTTTTATTATTATTTTCTTTTATTTTGATGGTTTGAAATGCCTCAGATTATTATATCCATTGTAACTTCTCAATGATTGATAATTTCTTTTGCCCACGAAAACTAAAATTGTTGAAATTGGAAATCCAAAAGTATTTTGTTGCTTTATTAATCATCTAAATCTGCAAGATTTTGGTCTTATGATAAGGATTTTGTACTTCCATTCACTGTTCCTGATGCTAACCACTGCCCTTATATATCATTACTGCTTTATTTAGGATGCACATTGCATTTCATGATGTAATTTTAGATGCAGGCTGAAATTGCATTCATGAGACTCCAGATCTTTTCGGCTTGGTGGTCATATAACCACCACTTAATGGTTGGGGGGTTGCAATCTGAGGTTCAATCCCACCCTTGGATCCTGTCAAACGCAACCCCACCAGAAAGACCTCATATATGTGCTACTATCTTAGCTAAACATATCTCAAGAATTTAGCTGACATCTAACCATATCCATATGCTTGTTCTTTCACTTTGTGTTGGCTGGTCGATAGGAATTTCTATTGAGATTTTCTTATTTTTCTCATCTCATTTAGCTCTAGGTGTAAAGCAGATACTCATGAATCATTTCACAATTTAATCACGTTCTTGTGCAGATCAGGGACGGGGGATAGCTATGAGAGGGAATTGGCTGTCAGGGCAGCTGCGGCTTCAATATACTCAACCTGCGATTTTCTGTTGTCAAAGGAGAATGTACCCTGTTCTCTCATCTGATTAACTATGGCTTCCTAATTTCAATTGAATTTTCTTTCTTAATGCTAGCGTAGAAACATCAATGTGCATCATGCAAAACTAGTTAGGTTGATAAAGGCCTTGCTGGGTTGTGAATTCCTAACACCAGAAGTGAGGTCATTTTTTCTTCTTTTTTTTTTTTTTGCAATCCTTTATAATCATAGGGGCAGAATTTGTTGTTAGAAACGCAATTGTTGCACTGTGAGGTTCTTTTTGAAACAAAAATGAAAATTTGTTCAAACTTTTTGTGCCATTTTCATTGAAATGTTATGCATTTCCATTGGTGAAGTAATATGAGGAGAGTGCTACATTGCTCTTCTCCATTGTGACTATGGTGGGTTATGAGAACTGATGTGTGATGTATTTATAGAATGTGTGATCATACCACCTATATATTCATAGGGATCCAAAATTTATTCATTGAGCTTGTATGTTGAAGAAGGCAATGGTATAATTCAACTCCGGCCTTAGAGGAGGAAAAGAGCAACAGCCCAGTTATTTAGCAAGAAAATAAATACTAGAAAAAAGTGTATGCAATAAATAATTCATATATCATTAGTGAGAACTAAACAATATTTTTCGAATACTTTGAATAATTTATTAATATAATTCATAAGCCACAAAGTAGCCAATTACAAAATTGAAATCAACTTTCATAAAAAGAGCTTCGTAGCAGGAAATATTCAACTTAAGTACAGATTTATTCATAATTGAAGCTTTTTCATGACTGACTAATTAGCTGGATAAAGATGAGCAGGCAAGCGAGGCTGACAATGTGCTTGCAAAGGTGTGGCCATGAAGAGATCATCCTTTGCTTCAGAGAGATCGATGTTTGCCTCAGTAGGTAGAACCCTCGTTGTGGATCAGAACCTGGGGATAAAGCAGAAGAGACCCACGTTCATAAGTTAAATTCTGAAATGAAAAATTCACCAAACGGTAAATCTTATAATAAGAATTTTATTATTACTTGGAATGGAATACAAATTCTCTACCTTCACTTGGTGTCTCATTTCGATAGCTTGCTTATAGCAAGCAAATAATATAACAACAAGAGTGACGTTAATATAAGAAATTTACATAATACATGATGTATAATTATAAAACCAGACATTAATTAAGTGGAGGTAAAAGATACATGGATAAATCGAGGAAATGTAACTTGTACGGCTGGATTAACGGAAATTAAGATACGAGTAACTTAATCAGTTGCAGTTTATTTTAGTAGTAGTAGTCTTGCATTACATCTTTTCAATTGCAATTGAGCTGATTATATACTGCAGCAGACAAGCGAGGTTTAGCAAGTAAATGCAATGGTTTTGCCAGGAAAAGAGTATCTTCCGATTCTGAAAGGTCAATTTTTGCCTCATCAGGCTGCACCTTCCATGCAAAACCATGGATCAGCCTGGCCAATAGCATTATAGTCAATTCAGTTCCAAGAGCCGCGCCAATGCACCCGCGCCTTCCTGTAGTAAAAGAAATGAACCTCAGTTCCGTCTCTGTCAGGTTAACTTCCATCGAGGCATCCTTAAAATGGCGCTCAGGTTTGAACTTGAATGGCTCGTCCCAAACCTTGGGGTTCCGGCCTAGGCCTACCCGGCTGAGCAGGACGTGACTACCTTTGGGGATGAAGTAGCCAGCAACTATGGTGTCGGCGTTTGAGACATGGGGTACGTTAAAGGCTGCCATGGGGTGAAGCCGAAGGGCTTCCCTTGCACAAGCTTTTACGTAGTTAAGTTTCGGAATATCAGCCTCCTGAACCAACCTGTCCTTTCCAACAACACCATCTATTTCCTCGATTGCTTTCTGGAGAGTTTCGGGTTGGTTGATCATCTCTGCCATTGCCCATTCTGCTGCATTGGCAGGATTGTCCACTGTTGCAAGCATTAATTCCTGCATACGAAATAAGGACCATCAACTTTTAGTTAACCGAAAAATATATTATATTGTGTTTGGACAAGTAAGAATCTCACAGTGCATTGGGCTTTGATCTCTTCAACTGAAAGTGCTGGCTTCCCATCTGAATTTTTTGCTAAAATGAAGGCATCAAGCCAGTCTTCAGGCTCCTTCTTCTTTCCTTCTCTCCACTGTTGTACTCTCTCATCGATGATGGGGTCATGGTAGCCATTGATAATTCTCAGAGCCTCACTCACAATCTTTTCGTGACCATCCAAATCTAATGGTCTCAGCCAGGGTACATAATCTGATAGGGCGAAAGAATAAAGGTAAATGAGCACTGTAAAAACTGATTCGACGTGTTCTTCTTCTTCATGCCCAGGCCCTCCATCTTCTTTGCTTTTGCCAAAGTATCTTTTGTTGAACATCATCCTCCTGATGACATTTCCAGTGTATTGCCTACCTGCAAGTCTTAGGTTTATGACAGAGCCATTGGAACTGTCCTTTTCAGGGTTGACGCATTGGTTGTAAATGAACCTAACAAGATTATCAGCTTCTTGGGTTCTCTTATGGAGTAACCAGTTTAGTATTTCTGGTCTCATTAGGTTAGAAGTAACCACCCTTCTCATTTTCTTCCACTGGTCTCCCCATGGCGTAAGGATGATTGACAAGAAACCACGAGAAGCCAACTCAGATGCCATTGTAAGAGGCCTCGACGCGAAAACAGAATCATATTTTTTCAGGAATTCTCGAGCTATTTCAGGTGAAGTGACAGGAATGACATGAATGTTTGCAAGGCGGATACAAGCGATGCCAGTATCGAGTTGTTTCATGAGGTCATGAATCCACCTGTAGGCAGGCTTGTATTTCCATATTTCAGGAAGGTTTCCAATGACTGGCCAGGGAGTTGGCCCTGGAGGGAGAGGTGCTCGGTTGCTGTAAGTCTTTCTAGTAGTGATTTTCAATGTGGCAAGGGCAAGGGGTGCCAAGAGAAGCACTAGGACAAGTGTAGAATGAAATGAAACAAGTGTGGAGATGGCAAAATCATGGGAGCCCCATGGCAGTTGAGTTTGAAAGGAAATGGTTGAGGAATTATCCATTTGCTAATGATCAAACACTAGTCTTTGTGTACACAGAAGGATGATAGGCATAGCTATTTATAGAGACAAAGGTGTGATAATTTTGGTCATTCAAAATTTTGTTTTGTTATTTTTTTCTTATTTTCGGTATTTTTTTTTCTTAATTTGCTTATGAAACTACCTGAAAAGCAATACAGCATAAACCATACTTTGAACTTAAGATTTAAAGTTCAGAACTTCCTTTCTACCTAATTCTATTATTTTTTAATTAAATATAATTATTTCATTTACTATAATACACACACACACACACACACTTAATCAAGTAAAATTTATTGGCATCAAACACTAATAAAGGTTAGAAATTCAAATAATAAGATACAATCACCTCAAGTCATACTAAAATGCAAGCACCGTAAAGTAAAATGAAAGTAATCAGCCATAGAAAAAAAAAATCAAATTTCTTATAAAAGTTTGCACCAGGCATGGAATATCTCCTATCTATCAACATCAAATTTAACTAAAGAATTATATAATGCACCAAGAAAACCCGACTGAAACTTGCAGACGAGAAAAAAAGCAGGCCAAGGAAACAAATTAATACACCAACTAGACTTAAAACCATGTGGGAAACAAATTAATGACAGCATCCTCTTTTTTTTTTTTTAAGTAAATTATTTCTAAACCAAACAGTGAAAATGTTTAATAATTTTTAACAATTGAGTGTTTAAAATATTAATTAAAATTTTATTTTTTAAAATTACAAGATTGAAATAAAAATTCTTGAAAAGTTAAATGATGATATAGATAATTTATTTTAAAGAAAAATCGGACATTCGATATGAGACAAAAATAATAAACAGTCTAAGAAAACAATCAATAATTTTCTGCTCGCCTTTTTGGGTTTTTTAAATAGGATTATTTGTGGTTAAATTGATCCACAACTAACCTCTGCGTACGTGGTGCAATGGCACTGATACACGTGACCCAACTAATTCTGTCACGCATGCGTGTGTTTGACGTATCACACGTAAAGCTAGGCTGCCCATGTTTACAACGTTTCAAATCTTTTTAATGTTTTTTCTGGCTATGCTGTGACAACGTTTACTTGTGGTCGCAAAATTAGGCTCATTTGGCTTTCATTTCATGGATAATATTGTAGAAAAGAAAAAATTATCATCAAATTACGTACTGTCACGTAGATTTGATGATATCATAATTATGTAATTAATTATAAAATAATTAATTTATTGATCAAATTATTCAAAGACACATAATTACATTAATTCACTTATGTATCATCTCTTGCAATAATTAAAAGATAATATTTAAATTAGATCAATTATATTTAATTATTGATAATCTAATTTATCTTTAAATAAATTAAAGTAATTTAGAGATAATATTCATATTTTTGACTAATCAAAATTTAATTATTGATCATCTAATTTATTTATGATAATTACGATAATTTAGAGATAAAAATTAAATTTGATTGTTTAATTTGTTTCTAAATAAATTTAGAGATAAAACTTAAATGTAACCAATCAAAATTCAAGGACTCAAAATTCGACAAATCAAAAGACTTTTAACGAGTCATCATGATTTATTTCTAATTAAATTAACATAATTTAGAGATAATTCAAAAAGACTACTTTTTCATCAAAGTCTTTTATCTAGCGTTGTAAAATAAGGGCTCCTCCAAGCTATTTGCTTTCATTGGAAGGCATTCAAAGATTTAAAGCATTTCGAACATTGAGAAGAGCTAAAGATTTTTGAAGGGAAGATATCAAATAGTAAAGTTCGTAATCAAGTCTTCAAGCAAAGTTTGTGATTAAGCCATCAAGCAAAGTTTGTGATCAAGTCGTCAAGACTTTTGAAGCAAGATATTGAGTCTAATTCATAATCAAGATCAAGTTGTCAAGACCTTTGAAACAAAGATATCAAGTCTAGTTCTTGATTAAGATTAAGTCATCAAGACCTTTGAAGTGAATATCAAACGAAGTTCATGATCAAGACTAAGTCTGAATTTGTAACTTTTGAAGACAAAGTGAAGAAATGAATTAGACGAATTTTTAGAGATTATAACTTACACCAAATATTTGATATTTATCTCATAATTTTGAAGTCAAAAAATTTTAACAAGAAATTTGTATTCTAGCACACCTAGTGGGACGACCTTTGCCTTTCATCTTCTTTCTTCAAACAAATCTTCAAATCGCAAATGGCTCCTAAGATGATTCTTGCCAATAAACTTGCTTTCAAGCCTGCTTAAGCTAATCTTGTAGTCTTTCCACTTTCATCATCAAACGTAGATGTTCCAATACATCCACAT